AGTCTGAGACCTCCCTTACTTAACCTCAAGACCGTAACATTTTTGAAGACTCCAGGAAAATTGAATTTCCCAATTGGATTTATCAGATAGATATTTTTCTCATTATTCAACTCAGGTCATGCTTGACTGTCAGAAGTATTACAGAAGCAATGACATGTTGTTTTAATTGCATCCCATCAGGGGGCACAGGATATTGGTTTGTCCTATGATTTAAGTAGTGTCTGACAGTTTTCTCTGCCATAACGTTACTTTTTCCATTTGTAATTAACAACTATTTTGTGAAAAGATACTAGAGATGATGTAACATCTCATTCCTCATCCAATTTTCACCCCATCCTTTTTACATCAATTAATGTTTCTTGCCTGAATTGTTACTAAATGGTTGCCAAGTAGTGATTTTCTAATTCCATCATCCCTTCTATTTTTATTAATTGACATTCTACTGCAAGGTAAAACTTTCTCTTCTTCCTATAAGTTGAGTACATTCATGTTTCCCATTATATCCCAACACACACACACAAAAGAGTCTTCTTTTATACAGTAATATAATCTGTTATCATTCTTTATTTTGATTCTTAAATAGTCCCAAATTTAGTTAATAAGAGCTTCTTCAAGCAGGCTTCTATGTTTTGGGTATTTTTGTGTGTTTTTTGAGATGTTCGTATTATTCTTTGACCCCTTTCTCACTTTCTGGCATAACATTTTCCAGGTTCCTCTTGTACTTCCCCAGCCATGAGGCTGGAATTAACCATTTCTCCAAGGATGCCTGGTTCCACTTAATGGAGAATGATATTTACAATCCTAAATCTGGTCACTAAGTGTGCTCATTGCTGCTGGGGTGTTGCTATTCCCAGGCCCTTAACAGTAAGTCACAATAAATAAATAAATGCATACATTTATATTTATTTTAATGCACATAAATCTATACTTATTTCTAGTAGCATCTATATCTATTATTGAAAGTCATGAGATCACGTCAATACCTCTGATTTCAATCTAACACCACAAGGTCCATTCTACCTTTTTTTCTTTTTTATATCTCTGACTGCTGTCTCCATCAGTGAGAGAGCTGGCTTGCATTCTTTTCAATGTATTCACTTATGTTCTCAACACCCACCTCCCTCGCACGTAACAAATCTCCTGACCCTGCCAGGCTACTGACTGCCTGATGCTCTCCAGGCTAAATGGAGTTCAAGGTTACTGATGTGACTAGAAAGTATAGGGCCAGGTACCTGAAAAAAAAGGAAGTTGTGCAGCAGCAAGTGGGTGAATGATGCAGGCTTATGGGTGACCATGAACTTGGTATGACTCCACCTCCTAACATATGCCAAATCAGTTAACATAAATTCAGGCCATGTGAGTAGGGGTCCTTTGAACTAAATAAAGAAGGTGGTAAAGCAGACCCATTCTATTTGGGGTGGGTCAGACTACATTTGGAGAAATGTAGTGAATTTGGTTAGCCACATCTTCAGTACACAGAGATTTAAAAATTCTATGGAGATGTTATGAAGACCCCATTTTAATGCTTTTTAATAGCTAAGTATTTCACACTCTTGTGAGTGTGATCAGGCCTGAACCAAGATATATGACTGCCGTGAGCATCCTTCTAACCAATAATTTCCAAATAATTATTCTATTTACTTAATGGGAACAGGAGAAACTGAAAATTGTATACTTCTCTATGTTGAAAATAAGGAATTTATCGTGATGTTCCACCTCATATAACCTCTTGGGAGCTAAGTTTAAACTGCTGCTTACAATACAGACGCAATAGATCATGTAATCCCAATAAGCAGCTGAATGCCAGTTAATTATTCAGCTTCAGAATTTCTGACTGCCAACTGCTTTGACTATGAAGTGGTTGGCCTTAGGGTTTGAGATAAGTCATGAATCTTGCCTACATGTGTTGCAAAAATACTCTACTTTGGTGGGAGCTGAACCATGTCACATCTTGCCAGTTAAGGAGTTATGTGCGAAAATCTATAATAAATAGGATTATAGTACAAATTTATTGCAGTGATGTCCAACATTCCTTATAGATTGATGCCCAGGAGGTCACTGCTTGCCAGCCTTGAATAAACTGATGACAATACTAAAAGTATGACATCTGGCACAAACAACAGAGTTAGCAGAATGTAAGTCATTAATACAATTTTTACCTTACATCTTCATATTTTTCATGAAAATATCATTACCCAAGCAAGACTCTAATGCAATGATTTCTAGGCCTGGTTCTGTAATGCCTCCAAACATCTCAAATCATATTTAAAAGCAGTATAAATTTATACTACTAAATCACGTGGAAACAAGATTCATTTTGATTGAAAGTAGTTTTTGAAACACCACATTGTGTGGCAGCACTTTATAAGCTTCCCAAATGATACAATGTTACAAATAAACAAGTAAATTAAGTAAGAAATGAATTAAGTAACTAAACTAAGTAAAGAAGATGTGCAGGTGAATAAACAGCATACAAGTATTCTCGATACCAGTATATGTTACCCTTGTTATTGTTTTAAAGTATTTTACCCCAGTAAGTTTTCTCAAAACTTTCCTAAGTTACAAAATCTGTAAAGGGGACAGAATGTCAGGTCTTGAATATTTTCAAAACCAAAGTGAACCTATGTCACCAACTCCAGTGCCTCAGGAAAAAAAAAATCATAATAAAGTACAGATAATAAAACTTGGAGATATCTATTTCAATGGGTGATTAATAAGAGGATATTTTATGCTTTGTCACTGTTTCTTACAATGTGGTCCAGAAATTAAATATGTAATAATCATTACTAAATTCAGATTCCTTAGCTCCTCCTGTATTCTCCTGAAGCAGTTCTTCTGAGAACCAATGACTAAAGTCCTCAGAGCTTTGAGTAGAGTTTTAGATCAACAATATTCGTGTTATGCTAGCTCCACTGGTTTTCTAGCATGAGGAGAGAGAGGCTACAAGCTAGTGAGATTTCCCAATTTTGTCAAGTCTATGTAATTCTCTCAAAATCAAGCTCTACCAAGATGGAAATTATTGCATAAGGACCTCCTTTTGGTAGAAGACAACGTATCCATTTTCCCCCTTCAATTATTTAAAGTGTACATCAATCCTTAAAAATTAACTCATCACTGTAATTCAGGCTAATGGGGATATATAAAATGTGTCACCAGAAAAATCAATAAAATACAAAGCATTTAATTTTGTTGTTTGTTTTTTAGTGATGAGGTTTAAGGATTTTATGAGACAATTTTGCCACCAATTAAAATTCATCTGTGCAGAACTAGCTGGTGAGCATTAAACAAAAAAAAGAGTTCTTGATAAATATCAAGTTAGATTTATTTCCTAATTACGTAGAAAGTTTACATATATTCCAAACTCTATTATCACTTGGAGAGACTCTGGAATTTTAAAATAAGTTAACAAATGAGAACAGCATCTATTAAAAACAACTCACTTATTCTCCCTGGTAAAATACACTGTAAATACTTTATATATTTAATATATGTAACTATATTAAAATATACTTAGAAACTCTAAATGTATTCATTTATGGTTATTTTTTATGCAATTAATGTACTGTGCCCCAGAGGGTTATTATGAGTCTGCTTTTTTAAAAATATGCACATGGCATTATGTATATTCTCTAACGTTCCACTAAAGGCAAAGAAAAGACTTCTAGTGGCTCCAGCTGTTCCACTTTGTTTTTGGACACGGACTTCCTTTGCTAACACTTTTGGCAGAAACAGGAATCGAGACAAACAGCGTAGGACGTTATGACTACACAACAGTGAGTTTCAGCAGGAACAAGGTCCTGTCTTTCCAGACAGTACAGCGTTAACTTAGGCAGAAAAACTTAAGAGACCTTGCAAATCTTGGTTTTTTCAAACCTGTCCACCCCAGAGAAAAGACCTATCTGATCTCACCCCCTTATCCTCCTCTCTTGTGTTGGGGCATTAAGTCATTCTCTATAGTTGTCCCTCTCTGCTCTTTGGTCCTGGAGAAGCTGCACTATTCTCCTCGATCTTCTACCCCTGCTGCGTTTCAACCTCACTCAGACGCCAGGGACATGTACCCACTCCTCACCTCACCGCCCCTCCCCCCGCCAAAGAATGGCCACAACTGCTTTTTGTCGGGAGATTTAGGAAGGGTATCTCGGCCCTCCCACGTCCTCTCGCCACCCGCCAGGGTCCAGCTGGACAACTGGACTGTGGGCGTCCCTCCTCGCCGTCCTCAGCATCTGCCCAGCGCCGGCAACCCGCCCCCCCCCCCGCCCCGGGCGTTTGGCAGGTGCCTGGTTTCACACTCCCATTCTCATTTTTCTGTCCTCCCGATCTTCCTTCCTCCTGGGGTATTTCTGTCATCAATTCTTTGATGGCGAGAGAACACAGCAGAGCTAACATCTCCTTTCCATAAATACGTGTGCGCTTTCCCCGAACCTTTCTCCGCCCTTTCGCCCCCTCGCCCAGGTACAGTCTGCCAAGGGCTCTTTTTTCATCCAGAGACCAATGTCAGCGTCTGCTTGGCACTTTCATTCAACAGGCCCGCCCGCACCTACCGAAGCCCCCTCGTACGAGTTCCGGCTTCTCCCAATTAACCGTGCTCCTGCCCAACTGCTAAGCACCGTCTCCGCCTTTTCGGGTTCTGCTACTGCCCACATTAAAACAAAACAAAACAAAAAAAAAAACCCCAATTCGTAAGACAGTGTGAGTTCCAGGAAAAGTGTGAGTGTGTGCACTGTCTCTGTCAGGGTCTGTGCCTGTGGCTGCAAGACGCTGCAGAGTCACCACTCAAACTTGCTCTGCCAGGCTGAGGCTGGGCCCTACCAGCTCACCTGTCTGCGCCCAGGTAACCTGGGAAGCGCCGGCAGGCTGCGTTCCAGGACACCTGGCCAGGACAGAGCAATGCTGGCGAACTAGGGCCACAGAAGCGCCCCTCCCACTCGCTCGTCCCCCATCCCTGCTTCCCTTCCCGGTTCTGCTTTTGTCTGGGCACCCCTTCCTCCACAGCGCCTTACCTCAAACAGGGGGCCGATCTTGTTCTTCTCCAGGTAAGCCTGGATCCGCGATTGCTGATACGACGCCATGGAGAGACAGCAAGGGCCGCGGGGAGTGCCAGCAAAACGCGCCTCTGCTGGGGGCCCACCCTGCTCCCCAAACTGGTGCCAGGACCGGAGAGGCTCGCGAGCCTCGGCTCCCACAGCGCGGCGGGCTCGACCCCGGCCGCTGGCGTGGGCTGCAGCCCCGGGAGCTGGGAGCGCGTGGGGCGCAGAGAGCCTGGCACGGGGCTGCCAACTCAGACAACTCGGCGGCGCCGGGGGAACTCATTCATCGCGCTCCCCTGCTGGCGCCCGCCCGCACGGCTCTCCGCAGCGCCGGCGCCTGGGGAATCCGAGCAGAGGTGCCTTCCTCCTCTGGGCGGCAGCAGCAGGGATCCGGGCGGGCGGCGAGCCTGGCGCTGCTGCTCCGCCCAGAGCGGCACAGGGGGGCGCCCACTGCCGGACAGGCACCGCGGGGCTAGAACTGCCCGCCAGGGCGCGTGTGCGTGGGTGTCCACGCGCAGATTGCGCGCGCCTCTCTCCCGGGTTACAGCCGCAAACAAACCCGGGCTTCTCCGGAGCCTGGGCTTGACCCGCCCGCCGCTCCCTAGCGACAGCGCCGCTCAAAAAGCCAATGGTGAAGGGGCTTCTTTCAAAGTGCACATAAATCTGGTGCTTGTTGGCTACGCCTTGGCAGCTGCAAATGCTTCTTGCAAGGGGGTCATCCCCACCGCGCGTTCGGAGCCTCTCCACGCCACCTCCTGCTCTGCCTACACTGGCTCAGGGTCCGAGAAGGGCAGAGTTGTGAAAAGGTGCGTGGGTCTGAGGGTTTGCAGCGAAAAGGAAGTTGCCATCTGTTAGGAAACCTAGCGGGGCTTGCAGCAAGTCGACGGGAGACTGCAGGTTGAGAACCCAGCTGAAAACTCCCAAAGTGCAGACACCCAAAGGTTGGGAGCAACTCTTCAGCTTTTGATAGGAAGAAGAGAGAAAAGCAAGCCAGCCCTGCCTTCCGAGTTTGCCTTCCGAATCCACCTAGAATTATGTCTATATGTAATTACATAGCTACATCTCAGATGCTACCTTACTCCACTTCAATGTTCCCCTAGATCAGCGGTTCTCAACCTTCCTAATGCTGCGACCCCTTAATCCAGTTCCTCATGTTGTGGTGACCCCCAACCATAAAGTTATCTTCTTTGCTACTCTATAACTGTAATTTTGCTACTGTTATGAATCGTCATGTAAATATCTTTTTGTTTTCCGATGGTCTTAGGCAACCCCTGTGAAAGGGTTGGTCCCAACCCACAGGTTGAGAACCGCTGTCTAGATGCTTCATGAACTCAAATTTAGCCAGTACCTTTCTTATGATGCAAGGATTTTCAAGAAGATCTACAAACAGAGGTTTCTTCACAAGAGCTCTGTTTCTTGTGAAAAAAACATGGAGGCCCCCGGTGATGATTTTTCTGGCCCCTAATCATGAGGGGCTACCAAAATAAAAAAATTTATACTAGTAAATGTGAAGGTTTATAATAAAGGAAATAATTGTCCTTGAAGCTGACTGCAACAGTATACGTAGATTTTTTACCTCCAGTATGTACTGGATTCCTGTAATTCACAATTTCTTTATTGGTGTGCTTTTTCATTTGTATTTTAAGTGATATATGTATGAGGAAACATGCAATAGTTAAGAATGGGATATCCCAGATAGCATTGTTAATTCCACTTAATAATTCAGATAGGAAATCTGCCAGAATATTTCCTTAACCATCACTGATAACCTGAAATAGATGATTTGCAGTAGAGAGATGCCCAAGTTATTACTTTGACAATCAGGCTCCATGATCTGCTCAGGGAGAGTAAAATGAATAGCAGTGAGGTACCCGGGGTCGTCACATGTTTTTCATTGTGGCTCAAAGATGTACTTACATATTTTTAAATATGTTCAGGAGAAGCTAAATATAACAGAATGAATATAAACAATTTTATTTGCTATAAGGAATGGTGTGCAGCCATCTATGACCCAGCTAAAAAGTCAAGTATTTTTGATAGCATAGAGTACAGGAAAATGAGCGTGGTGCCTTTCTGAAATCAATGGTTGGCCTGCTCTAAGAGACATGAGGCAGATGCTTCTTTAAATCAGAAAATTAACATATGTACTTATTTAGTCTAGACTCTACACCTAGGGCCTTGACTAGAAGACAAAGCTTTGCTGGCAAAATACTTATGCATTAAAGGGAGAATCATGAAGATATATGCATTTCTGTACATTAAAACACAAAACATCCTGAAATTTCATTTTTAAAATTCAGAAAATATTTCAGAAGTCTTTCCAGGTTTACTGCAAACACCAAACTTCTCCACAAAGCATTTCTTGATTCTTTCCGCTTATCCCCAAACTTGACTTCATTATTACAATAAATATTTATGGCACAGCCTCTCCATGGCAGACCTTACATTAGGACTGAGGATTCAAAGGTGAAAGGCCTTGTGTTTGTTCTCAGGTGTTCAGTCCTGTTGAGGCAATTGGCATAGACATGAATAGGACATTAGAATGAACTGTGCTAATATCGATGTATAAAACATGCTGTGCACATGCTGATGATGGAAAATGACCTGATTGGGATCATCAAGGAATGCTCTATTAAAGGAGATGGTGTTTGAGCACTGTGTTGAATGAAGAGTACAATTTTTAAGTTTTCCAGATAGGATTGGTGGAGTGTGGAGGGGGCTAACGATTCAGGATTTGGCATTTAAAAAAATAGCATGTGCAAAGGCACAGAGGCACAAAACAGACTGGTGGTTAGAGAAACAAACGATACATATGGAGGAAGATGAGCATGCGACGTTGAAAATGTAATCAGAGTTCAGCTCATTAAAGGCCTTAAATGCCTTGTTAAGAAGTATAGACTTGCATCTTCTGGGCGATGAGACGTTTTGAGCAGAGAAGTGTTATACAAGGTCAGGTAAAAGGTTTAGAAAGATTGCTTTGGTTACAACATGCATAATAGGCTGAAAAAGAATGATATGGGGATAGCAAAACCAACTTGGGCTACAAAATCCATAAACAAATCAGGAGAGCCTAACGACTGGGGATTTGGACGGATAAGATGGGAAATATTCAAGGAATCTTTGAAGACTAATTTGTTTATTAACTATATGTAGGATGAAGTTGAAAGAGGGGCTCAAAGATGACCCTCTGATTTCTGCAGTGAAGCTAGGAGATTATAAATGATTGGCCCAAGCCACCCAATGAATAATTGATAAGGCCAGGTTTTGATTCAGATTTTTCTAACTCCAAAGCTGAAGCTATTTTAATTTTCTACCCTGTATCCTGGAAATTAGTCAAGAATTTAGTTTGCAGTTATCATAGTCCCTTAGTGGGAAGAACTATGTCTCATGAACTGGCACATAGTAGGCACTCAATAAATAGCAGTTGAATGAATAAATTAATTTTTAGTAGATCAATTAGATCAATCCAGCTATGTTCTTTCAGGCTAAATTTTGCCTCTGACACATGGAAATTACATTCTGTTTTGGTAGATTTAATTACATGCATATCTTGTTCCCTCTTTTAAATTGCAAACTCTCTAAAATCATGACCTATAGCTAAATAATTCTCTTATAGTTTACGGCATGTAACATAGTATATTTTCATACAGTAGTTTCTTCATAAACATATCTTTAATTTAACTAATATCCTCTTGCTGTGCATATTAATAATTTGTTTCACGTAGTCCCTTTAAGATAATCTGAAAAGTAACCATTGTCTTAGATTGAATTGAACAACTTTATTCTGCACATCTAACATGGTACTCTTATCCTCTCGCCTTTTGCAGGGAGCCGGCTGCACCTCAGTATCTGACATGGACAAACACACTGCAATTGTGACAAATTCTGAAGCTCTGACTGAGAAACAGATACTGCTTTATATCTTAAAAAAATTTAAATACCCCTTCTAATAGATATATCACAATAATTATATTTTATACACTAAAGGCAATTTTAGTCACACTACTAGTCTCTTAGTAAAGGTCAAAGTACACACCCTGTAAATCCTAAAATCCTGCTTAGACAATAGTTTTTAGAATAAATGTTGGGTGGTCATGGTAACCATCCTTTAGGCGATTATGTAGTCAGGCCTTGGTCGCAGTCATTGTAGGTGGAGAGATTTGGGCATAGTTGGGATAAATTAGTCTTTAGCATAGAAAAGGTCTAGCTGTACCCTGGGGCATAAGAATTATGAGGAAGTAAAACCCTGATACTAATGGAACAATGGTTAAACTGCCCAGTATAAAAAGGGGCATGCTGTAAAATAAAGGGAGACACTTATCTTCTTGAAAAAGCGCTCCTGTGTCTCTGCTCGTTTTTTCCTTTTTCCTCGCCAATGCTGCTTCCACCTGAGGGAACCCCTGGACCTGCAGGAGCTGGTCTCCCACACCCTTTTTTTTTTTTGGCTTAAGTTAAGCATGAAGAGGCCATTTTTGCTGTTTTGACCTCATTGTGTTATAGGATTGCTTGTCAGCATAATTTACAAATATACAGGACCCAATTTATAGAATGTACTAAAGCCCTTATCTCACTTCATTTGTAACAGATACCTTGCACAGCTCCTTAAACAAATGATTTTCGATGAGAGTCAAGAGAACAATGGTGAAGACCAGTTGACCTAATTAGGAAGTGTTAGCAACATAATCGCTTGAAATTAATTAAACACTGAAGTCAAAGACCAGAGTCGTTCTACACAGGTTCTTTGAATTTAGGCTATCAGTCGGAAGTGTACTTGTCCATTTCCTTTATCGCTTTCACCTTGTCACTTCATAAGAAACAGGAGCAGATAGCTTCCCAAAGAACTCAATGTGTCATGGGGATTTTGATTTTTGAGCTATAAGGTGGAGAGGCTGCATTAGAGACAAATAAAGGAGGTCCTGGAAGAGACAAAGCGGAGAAGCAGGGGCATGGAATCTAATTTCAAAGCCTGAATTCTCAGAAAATAAATGATGATTATGGTTTAAAGTATATTAAACTATTATTACATAGTAGGATATTCTGTGTATGGCAACTTTCAAAATACATGTTTCAGGAAACAATTCAAAAGATGCCTGGGTTTATTTTTACTCTATTGCAACCATGTTTATTATCATTTCATATATTATAGTGTACTTCCAGTTACAAAGTTACTGATTTCAACTGTTAAATTTGTGATTAGCATGAGGGCTCATATCTGCATTAGTATATATGAAATGTCATTTAAGCTTCCCCTGAACTTGACTGTCTCTTTAATAACGACACAGGAAAATTTAGAAAGTATTTTCTTGTTTAAAATTTCTTGTTTACTCTTAGGTAGTGGTTCAAGTCTAGCTAAAAGGGAGGGACACATTATTTGAGAACCAATCAAGTATAATCATGGAGCACAGTGACCTTGGAGTAGTAGCCCAGGATAGAATCCAGGCTTTTCCACTAGCGCTGTGATCTTCAAAAAGCTACAATACTTAACCTCTCTGTCCTTAGTATCTTCATCTGTCAAGTGAAGACAAACAAGCACTTCGTTT